GAAATTCTTGTGGTTAGGATGGAATGGAAACATGGCCATTTTAATGAGAAGATGTAAGCCCAAGCTCATGGAGGTAGAGGTCGTAAGAAGGAAGCCAGGCCAGGCAAGACACAAAGTGCTTTCTGCAGCTCTGCTGGTCAGAGGTTTATGCTGAGCTTATATTATACAGACAAGAAAGAACCTCAGCAGGAATAGCCGCTTGGCACACCAGACTTCTTGGGAATGTTAGCAAGGAAAAGAAACCAGACCTTGAAGCACCTTCTCTTCATGCTGGGGAGAAAGGTGAGTCTTTATCTGCTGAGTTCTTTGCCGTGTTTCAAAAAGGTTACACACTGTGAGAGAAATCCTACTCCATGACGCCATTCAAATGGCCAGATTCTGTCCCCCATGATGCTGTGCCTCGCCTAGTGCAACCTTAGCAGTGAGGTAGGGATGTGGGTGGAGGGGAGGTCCCAACCAAGAGAAAGAGAGGATGTGAGCATTAAAGGTGTTTGAAAAGGCAGCAGGTGCTGTGTCCTAAATACTGGTCTTTTCTTTCTGGAGGTTAGGAGAGTTGGAATCCAGTGGTGAGAAGGGGCGGGTGCCACTGGGCTCCTAAATTCCTCCTTTCATCTCCTCTGGCTGGAAGTGACTGCATCCTGCTGACAGGCTCCCGGGCTCAGGCTCCTCATCCCTGGGCTTAGCAGTAACAGAATATCGTTGGCTGCCCCACCTCAGCCTCCCCTGGAGACCCAATCCAGCCTTAGCCTCTCCAAGATCCTCGAATCCTTATTAAGAAACACTATGGATTTTCAGAGTAAAAAAATCTATAGAGAGACTTCAGAAACAGTCTGGGGAGATTATAAAGAAATGTGGGCCAGTTTTCCAAGGAGACTTTATAGAATATTCAATAGCACTCATGTCATAAAAGGCCTATGGAGGTTTCCATAGCTGAGGCTGGCCCTGAATTATGATTCCCTGATGCCCAGGCCCAGTGAAAGGCCACAGCATAACAGGTTAGGGCTTGAGTCTGTGATGCTTGTAAAAATAGAGCCACCTCACTAAAATGCAGCAGGGATATTAATTTCCAGGGCTGAAGTTCAATTTAATAGAAAGACAGAGTAGAAAATAGAGCTGTCTTTTCAATCCTGTGGCCATAATAGTACCTCCACCCTGAACCTCTCAAGAAACTGTCTTCCGACCAGCTCCCAGACATCCTGAAACGTGCTGTGTGCTTTGCTTTCAATGATAACTAGAGCTAGGTAGCTGGAGGGACAGCAATTACTGTCCACAGATGGGGAACCTGAGGCAGTCAGAGGTTAATCTACTCTCTCCTGGGCTCAGAGCAAGTCAGTGGATTTGCCAGTTTGCAGTTAGGAAAATCCTCCTCCCTGGGGGGAACAGAAGACCGCAGCTGAATAAAAGTTATTCACATGCATGCCTACTGTGTGCTGGGCCCAGTGTGTGTAGTGTTTGATGCGTACATTGTCATTAATTTTTGTGGTGAGTTGGGTAGGTCAATAGCCTCTTCATTTATTAAGAAACAGGCTTAGTGTGAGGTAAAGAAATCAATCCGGATTATTATATATATATATGTACATATACACTATATCTGTATATAATGTATACAACATATATATGTATTACATAATATATGTGTGTATTATATACATTATGTAGCTTATGTGGATTCCTGGAGCAGAGGATAATGGATGCCTAATGTCTGACTGATGTGCTTTTGCTCTATGATATATTTTTGGAGATCCCTATAATGCCCATTCTGCCTTCGTAACTACAGTGGACCCTTTCTCAGATCAGGAACTATAACCTATTACATACATGGTTTTCCAAGGTTGGTGGAAGTGATTGAGATGGTGAAAATAATGAGTAGGTTTTTGGATGGCTGGGATCACCTGCTTTTCACTCTGAAATTGACCTGAAACTTTTTCTTCTTGCTGTAAGTTCGTTGGAATGACAGTCTCTGGGCAGATAGGATTAGTTGAAAGTGAATTTTCTGAGTTCAGTGGAAAGAAAGCTTGAAACAGAGGTGTGAGAAGGTCATAGAAGGGGCGGATGGAGTAGAGAAGGACACACGGAGAGGTCCTGAGCTTGCCATCATTAAGGTAGAGACTTACTGTAGGCATTCTAGGACCTATGTTGACATCGTCCTTGAACTGTGAATGTTGTTAGCAGTGGTTCCTAGCCTAGGATGGAACCCAGGAAGAAGGCTGACTCATGCTCAGAGATGATGGGAGATACTTAGGTAGTGTGTGGGCCCAAGGCAAGTGTTGCCCAATCAAGTTTTTTATGTAGGTCTCCCTCCAGAGGCTGAAGAGAATAGATGTGGAGATAACTATGGGACTGAGGCTTATCTACGGGCTTTAGGTTCAGCTTTATATAATCCTGTAGTGACTGTGCTGAGGTAGAGAGGAAGCCACAGGACTAGCCTTTCAGAGGCTTTTTGCTTCAGTGGTTGGGGAGAAATTCTAGTTTCTACAAATGGCCCTGATGAAACAAGGCTAAAATGCCCTAAAGTTAGCAACTATACCACACCTGTCCCCTCACTTGGCATGCCTAGCATGTGGATATACCTATTGAAGTCTCAGAAAACTTCTGAGGAGGCTGAAAGAATATAAGAACTGGAGAATGGGAGAGGAGTGTGTTGGGTATGACAGAGCCATTGCACTGATGAATTCATAGTACTTTCAATTACCCAAATACAATTGTTCAAGATGGAGCCTGTCAACCTTCCATCATGCATAGGGAAGTGCTCTTGAAATCTCATCCCTTCCTGGGGAACTCCTGAAAATTAATGATTGGTAGAAGGGTTGGGGAGTCAATTTTTTTCAATGTTGTAGCAACTTGTAGGTTGTTCACATGCCAGTAAGTGGCTCCACATTCATGTAAGTAATCCTAATTAAATTCAGTGGGCCACAAAAATGCATGCACACTCATGACCACCACCACCACAACCACTATGACCACAACCACAACCACCACGACCACCATGACCACCACAACCACCATAACCACCACAACCACTATGACCACGACCACCATGACCACCACGACCACCGAGATCACCACCACCACTACCACCACCACCACCACCACCACCACCACCATCACCACCTATAAAAGTCCACATACAAAAATTTAAGTAGTAGTAGTAGGAATTATTTAGAAGAGGAAGGGCTTCAGAGGGGATAAGAAAATGTAATAAAGGGTGAACATGGTCAAAATGTTTTATATGCATGTAATAAAAGACTATTTAAAAAGAGAGATAGCATTCATGTAAAAGTTATTCCCCTCCCTGATATTAAATGTGCCATCCAACAGCTTATATTTTGCTGGTCAACAGTCCAGTCCTTCTTAGTGGCTGTCCATAGTATGAAGCCATTCCACTGATGCCAAGGGGGGGGGCAGTAACAACCCCTTCAAGCTAATGAGGGCATTGTCTGAGTTGGTGTTAGCCATAGGGCCATGCCCCTGCCCTGTGCTTACAAATGGGGGCTCAGGTTTTGCTGTGGTCTCTGACATTTGAAGATGCCACCTCTATCACACCCACAATGGATCTCATTAGCACCTGAGGAAATCTTCCTCCCAGCTTTTTCCTCTCCTAAGAATGAGCAGTTTTAATTGCATTGGATCAACCTTATGCAAGGACCTTGATGTCATCTGACCATTTTCTTCCGTGCACTCCATTTGTATTACATATTTGCATGTGTAGAACACTCCTAGGAGGTGTGGAATGGCTAGGTACATAGTTCGAGTTGGGGGTGCTCACAATATAATGCTGAATAGCTTTATGCTGGCAGTATCAGAGCCTCTGTATTTATGCATGGTGAAGAATCTATTCTGCCCCCATCCCCTCTGCAACTTACATTTTTAGGCAGAGGGATCAGAATTTACCCACCCACATCCCATTAACTGCAGTGTGACCAGAACACACAGGTAGCTAGAGAGAACAAAAGATTTGGACCGGAGCTGTTGGCTCTAAAATTTCAGCGTGTGTATAAAAAGCACCTGGGAGGTGTATTAAAATGCAGGTGCCTGATTCCGACTCCAAGATCCAAGGTAGGGAGGGGAGTACTTACATTTTTAACAACCTTCTTCAGGCCATTTCAGTTCACGGTCTCACTTTTAGAACTACTGGGTTAGAAAAACGAATCCCAGCCGGGTAGGTGAAGCAGCCCCCACTGCACACAGAGAAAAGCCTTTTCCGGGTAATTCTTAATTAGCTGCTGGTGAAGGGGAAGCTTTTCACGGATGCAGCCGACACAGCCTTAAAAGTTTGGGTGGCAACGTGTCCTGTTTTGTGGAGCTTCCTGGTACATATAGATCAATTAATACCCGTTAATTGCTTTTAATGCCTCTTCTCCCCAACCCCCATCCCCCAGAAGAGCATATGTATTGGACTATAAATTATTCAGTTACTCTGCTTGAAAGTGAACTTTGGGCAATCCTTGCAAAGGGAAGAAATTCTTCCCCCACCCCACACATAAGCTTCGGAGGTGAGTTTATTGCTTCCCCCAACCAGTGCCCTTGGAATCTGAGAGCAAGAGGGAAGAGCACCTTGAGGTTGCAGCGTTCTTTTCTTTAAGGTTCTTAATGAAAGGATCCACTCAGGGAGGTTAAACCCCCCCCCTGATCTCATTGAAGTTTTGGTGACATAAATGATTCAAAAAGGCCATGGTTCCAGAAGCGTAACGATTTTATTAAAATCATGGCTTGCTCTCAACATGTTCAAATCTGCTTATATCCAACTCAGTGCATATGGCCACCAAAAAAGCTCCCTGTTTCCTAGTCTCAACAGTTTTCTCTCTTGTCAACATTCAGATTTTATTTCCACAAACACAGAGCTGCATTCTCCGTTTGAGGATGTCATTTAAGGCCAACAAACTCCAATAAAAACGCATTTATCAGCAGTAAAGTTTGTTTGAGGATTACCTGCTGAGAATAAAGCCAGGCTCCCCTTTTAAACTGAAGCATGCTATTTCAGGAATGTGACCCCTTTCATGAATAAATGACATGGTGACATTTACAGATAAAGCAAGATTTAACTGCTATGAAAGGAGGTGACAGATGTCAGGATGTCAATAATGATCCGTGAACATAATGCTTTCTTGCCTGAACGCCGAGCAGATACATAATGTTACTGCTGCCTGCCAGTGTTCTGCAGAGAATGAGCCTCATGCTCAGAGAAGAGTCTAGAAGGTTTGCAAGGTACCAGCCAGGGGTGGTGGATGTCTGAGGAAGTCTGGGTAAAATGTGGCCGGAAACAAGGCCTCCACTCTATATGTCAGGAGGGTGAAATTTTTCTACCAAATCCAGCTCAAGGATACCTGCTGAGAATTTAGTGCTCAAGAAAACAGCTTTGGGGTTGTGCTTTTGCTTTCCTGAGGAACTAGAAGTTTACAGAAAACGACAGCAGAAAGCCTGTGGGTTACACCCACGATAATGCCAAAGCCAGGGGTGTTGTCTGTCCATGTCTGTGTAGACACAGACATACACACCAAGGTCCCCTCTGTACCCAGCATGGGGCCACTCAGCTTGTCCATGGGACTGAAGTCAGAGCACATTAGCAAGAGATTGTGAATGTCTCAGTCAAATGTAACACGTGTTCCCAGGAGCAGCCTTACACCCGGGCCATCGTTCCTGCTTTGCATCTAGAGCCTCCCTCCTCCTTGGCTCTGATCTTCCACGTGGGGCATTTGTGAGTTCCTGTAGAGATGGAGAAACAAGTGGGTGCAGTTATGCATATGCATGGTGTAAACATGGAGGAGAGAAGATGTACAGTTGCCTTTCTGTTGCTGTTAAGAAGACGCTGTGATGGTTATTCTTGGTTGTCAACTACATCTGGAAGTAACTAAAACCCAAGCATCTGGGTACTGTCCCTGGGGGTGGTCTTCAGAGTTTAAAGACTCTAGCCACTTCTAATTCGCTCTTTCTGCCTCATGTATGCAGTTTCCACACCTGTGGGCAATTTTTTTTCTTAAATAATTTGAAGTGAGAAGACAAACTTTTAATCTAGATCTTTTGAGGTGGGGTAATCTACCTTTAATATGGGGCACACCTTCTACTGGTAGCCTGTATAAGGACACGGAAGAAGGAAGCTTGTTCTTTTTGCCTCCTTACTCTCACTTTGTTGGCAAGTCCATTTATTCACTGGCCTTAAAGCCTGCTTTTTTGGGATTCTGGAGAATACTGAAGACTAGACATCCAGCATCATGGACTGAACAACTACTAGATTCTTAGACCAATATTGGTAGAAAACCATTGTTGGACTAGCTAGGCAACAGCCTATAAGTCATTCTAATAAATCACATATATATACATACATTATATATACATATATGGGATATATACTTTCATTCTATATATTCTGTTCTTCTAGAGAACCCTGGCTAATACAGATACCAAAGCAATTTATAAAACCCTTATAAAATAAAGCATTTAATTGAGACTTTGCTTAGAGTTTCACAGGGTAAGTCCATGGCCATCATGATGGGGGTGGGGGCATAGCATCAGGCAGGCAGACATGTGGCTGGACCAGTAGCTGAAAGCTTATATCTGCTCCACAAGGATGAAGAAGAAAGAGAGAGAGGGAGAGAGAGAGAGAGAGAGCGAGCCAGACAGACTAGAAATGACCTGGGCTTTTGAAACCTAAAAGCCTACCCCCAATGACACACCTCCAACAAGGCTATACTGCCTAATCCTTCCAAACAGTCCTATCAGTCGAGGACCAAGCATTCAAATATATGAGATTATGGGGACCATTCTCATCAACAGAGGACAACCTCAGAAGTTGGTCCTTAGTTGTTGTGGTGGTTTGAATGAGGTGTCCCCGATAATCTTGGGCATTTGTACACTTGGTCCCCAGTTGGTGGTGCCTCGTGATAGGTTTAGAAGGTGTGACCTTCTGGAGGAAGTATGTCACTAGGAGAGGGTTTGAGAGTTTAAAGAAAATAACTAATACAGGTGTCTTCTGCCTTTCTGTTTGAGACAGGTTCTGGAACTTTGCCAGGCAAGCCAGAATAGCTGGCCCAAGAGCATTCAAGGAACTGCCCATCTCCACTTCCTAACTTACCATGTCTGGAATGATAGCATACACTGCCATGCCTAGCTTTTTAAAATGGGTCTCAGGGATCCAAACTCAGCTCCTTGTACTAGTCAGGCAAATGTTTACCAGCTAAACTATCTCCCCAGCCTTGCTCCTGCAGTTTTGAAGCTAGCATATATTGTTTTCTTTCTTGTACTTTCTCTTTCTCCAGTGCTATTGCTGTAATAGGATACCCGAGACTGAGAGATTTATAAATAAGTTAATTGTGCCTCATGGTTTTGGAAGTTTAATAACACGGTGCTGGTGTCTATTGGGCCTCTGGTGAAGGCTTCCCTCAGGCAGGAAGAAAAGGGAAGGAAGCATCTGTAGGGGAGAACTTGCAGTCCATTCCCACAAGGGAAGCATTATCACACTATGATGGTTCCACCCTTATCACCCTAACATCCCCACTCCTCACCATTCTCCTCTCCCAGCATCACTGCACAGAGGAAACAATCAGACATAGGCTGGCGAACATATTGATAGAAGAACCCTGCCTGGCCTTTCCTTATTATGCCCTCAGGCAGTTATGAGCTTTTAGCGACCTACTTCTGGGAAAGAAGGCCTGCTATTCTTCAGGCTTCCACGGGCCGAATGCTGCACTGCTCCCCCTGCATGCTGATCTTTGGTGATCTCTCTCCATGAAATCCGTGAGTCCAGGCTTGGGAAAAGATAACGCACAACTGGAGCTAACCTCACCCTACCACCATCTCCAGGCTTTTCTGCTCTCCAGTGCTCACTGTTTACCTCAGTTAGGATTCCACACGCCCAAGTGTCTAGTCGAGGGGGTAGCTTTCCCCCCACTGCCACTTTATGGTTGTCCAGCGTAGTCCCCTCCCCTTCAGATGTTACCCCCGAGCCTCTAACTCTGTGGTGCTTGTGCTCTGAATCGGGGTTATCCAGGCTGTGACAGCCCTTGAAACCTATCCCAGGTCTGGACCATGTTCTTTTTTGCACCACATGTTGGTGTTTTCTCTTAATGTGTGTCTAGTTGCTTCCGCATTCAAAAGTAAAAACAGGGAAGCAGATGTTCTGAGGTGCCACTCAGTTTGCCTGGGGTTCTGCACTCTGTCCAGACCCCTGTTGTGGCCAGAGCTACATGTCTACTCCCAGTGCTCCAGCTTTGCTGGCTAGTACCTGCTCTTCAATCTCCTCATGGACCAGCGTTCATCGAAGCCTCAGAATTAGCCCCAGCCTGAGCCCTGTGCCCAGTGCAAGCCCCCCAGGTTCCTAGGATGAAACATCGTGTGGGTACAAGAGCTGCTGGATCTCCCAGCACAACTCAGTGGCATGTTCTACTGCCCTGCCCTCAGTATAGGTAGGGGTAAGAGCTGGAGCTGGGGAGTTGAATGCATGTGCACATGTGTGTGCACACGTAAGAGTGCAGGTATGCAACTGCGATAGTGGAGGCCAGTTAAAAACCTCAGGTGTTGGTTTCCACCCTCTAACCTTGGGTAAGACAGGGTCTCTGTGCTGTTGTGTAGAGCTGGGTAAGTCAGGCTAGCTGGCTCACAAACTTCCCAGGTTCTCTGTCTCTGTCTCCTCTCTCTTTGCAGGAACACCTGGAATATAGAACATAGTAATTTGCCTGCCTTTGCATGGCTTCTAGGGATGTGCACTAGCTCTTCATGCCTGTGCACCATGCTCTTTACTCACTGGGTCCTGGATGTTGCTGGGGATATCTTTCTGTATGCTGTGAATGTGTTGCTCTGATTGATTGATAAATAAAATGCTGATTGACCAGTAGCCAGGCAGGAAGTATAATATATGCGGGATAAGCAGAGAGGAGAATTCTGGGAAGTGAAAGGCTGAGTCAGGAGACTGCCAGCTGCCACCATGAGAAGCAAGATGTAAAGTACCAGTAAGCCACAAGCCATGTGGCAACTTATAGATGAATAGAAATGAGTTAATTTAAGATATAAGAACTAGATAGCAAGAAGCCTGCCACGGCCATACAGATCATAAGTAATATAAGTCTCTATGTGTTTACTTGGGTCTGAGTGGCTGCAGGAGCCGGGCGGACACAGGAATACATCAGCTACAGGATGTAGATGTGATTTTGATGACAAATACCATGGTCCTGTCCCCTGTCACTGCTGGCAAGCTGTACACTTTAAGAACTAGCAGGTTAGGAGGGGGAGCTGTCACAGTGGCACCGGCCTCCGTGTGCATTGCTTACCAAGCCTCAGGCAGAGGGACCAGCCATGCATCCTCTGTCCTGCACAGGTCTGAAGCACAGGCCTGCCTCTGTGCTTGTGTGTGATACCTATGGGAAGTCACTCAGTGGAGCAGAGAGACAGGCTAAGGATGAGATCACTTTCTGGCCAGAGGGCTTCCTGGGCCAGAACCTGAGCCTCAGAGTTCAATTCAGGAAAAAGAGAGCGCATAGGGAAAACCAGGGTCATTTTCTGGGTGATGGCTATGAACGGAGCTCTGAGAAGCCTTCAAGATTTGGTGTTGAGGGATAGACTCAGAAAGGGCGGTGTGGTAGAGAAAGGCTATGGTTAAAAAGCTCCCAAGGACGGAGGGCATAGCTCTGTTTTCTTCAGTCCACCCCTGTCCTCCTTGCCAGTGAGCCGAGGAAGCAGTCCCCAAGTGTCCTCACGCTAAGATCTGGCCCTCTTCTTGCTCAAGTATAAATGGCCATAGACACCTTCCTTCCAGATCCCGAGGGGTCCATGATCACAGAGGGCCCTACCCTAAGGGGTCAGTGGTGCCACCGAGCAGCTAAGAATTCTGTGATCAGTGCTCTGGTTGCAGAGAGGCCCCTGCTTGGCCTAGGTATTACTGGGGTCCAGGCTAAGATCCATGGACCTCCTTAGCAAGTTCTGACGTAATTAGAAGGCTGACTGACTTTTTTTCTTCTTTTCCTTAGCAGTAGCTCTTCCATCCTGCTTTACAAGCTGACAAGATTTCAACTCAAGGCAGGAGGCTCATGATGCTGTCATGAGGTACACGTGGAGAAGAACTGCAAGGTAAATGCTTTTCACTGTAAGTTAATTTTGTCTGGAAGTTTCCTTGCAGTTGGAAGTTTCTTTGAGAACTTGGCGATTATTAAGACGTCAGTAGCAGGGAGATGGTTTTGCCGCTGCTGCCTTCCCACTGCCCAGGCCTGTCTTACTCTGACAGCTCTCCTTTCTGGGCCTGTGCACCGAGCAGAGCAGAGAAAGGACAGAGACACTGAAGGATGGCAGAGGACAATGCTTGCTCACGGAAGCCTGGCCTGCCATGCTCGGTGTATGCCCGCCTGCTCTCAAGGCTTTTTCTCTCTGCATTTCTCTCCCTCTATAGATGCCTGACAGGTAGACAGCCCAAGCACACGCAGTTGTTCTACAGTCGCCCGGTGGGTGTCTGCAGACTCCATCTTTGAAGGAGCATTAGTGAGCACTGTGATGATGTGAAAGCAAGAGGGAGGAAGAAGATGGTGAGGGAAGACCTCAAAGCCTCCTGCACACAGTTTGCTTGCATTCTGTGTAGTAGACAACAGGAAGTGGTCCTCTTGACTTGGGGAGCAAAGCAAAGAAAGTAAATGACCCTGAGAGTTCTGTTGCTGTGTGGGTGGGTGGGTGGGTGCGCGCGCGCGCACGCGTGCACGCACGCATGTGCATGTGCAGGACTCTAG